GTTTTACCATTACCTACTCTATCCTATCCAAATATATTTTTTAAATGTTTTTAAATATATTATTTATGTGTTAGATGTTTTCAGTAGCATTTCATTATTATTCAAAAAGAATATTAAGCTAGGAGATTCAAAAGTCTGTTAATAGAAACTGCAATTTTGTTACTCAAATATGCATAGATTTCTTTTGAAATCAGAGAAAATTGGAGATAACAGTTTATGCAATTATGTTACACATATTAACAGTTAAAAGAGCATACCGCGGGGTTCCAAAATAAAAGAACTTGCTGATATGACAGTAAAAAGTTTTTGTTCTATGTATTTGTTTTAGGTACAGCTTTGCAATACAGGTGAAAGAAAAGGCACTACAACAATGACCACACACAAAGACGGAACAATGTGACCTTCGCATAATACTAGATAAAATAACTGTACATTCTGCTTACTGGGTAAAAAGTCAGCATTATTTTCAATGTATGCAAAACAGGGTGCATATAAAGGAAGGATTCTCCCATTCGGACAACAGTACATAGACTGTGGCTTGTGGCTGACTGAGTAAAGATACATTATAATGGGAAAGGTAAGACATAACTTTTTGAAATATTAGAGTACAACACTTTAATCTTAAAAATCATGAGCATATATGCATGAAAATCCAAATACCAGACTTTATCAACTAATAATGTAGACATCTTTGGGTAAATATAATAAAATCAGTATTTCATTGTGGCACCTTTAAAGCATACATTTAAAAAGCCAGCAACTTATTCTGCCAGACTTATATTTAGTCATTTAGTTTAGAACTCAATCACGCATCACATAATCATAGTTATGGTAAAATATTAAAGGACCTGTCCACTTAGAAGTGACACTAGTTTTTTGTAGAGTCTGCTGGACTGAGTCAACCCCTAGCTTCTCTTATGTCTTAGATACTCTTTCTGTCATATTTCACAACTCGTCTCTCGTCCACCTGGGGTTTTTCTGTGTTCCATATACCTTGTGTGTGTTCCAGCTCATTCGGTTACATTCTCTATAATAAACCATCAATAATAAAATTCAACAGTGAGACTGACCACAGCAAGTGTGCAGAACTAGGAACCAAGTGGTATACATCTTGTTTATCAACTCAAAAGTAATAATATCAGTTTCAAATTCACTGATGATTTAACTTTGTTCTTCTAAGGTACAGAATATAAAAAACAAATCTCTTTTCCTACAAAAATAAATTCATAACATACAATGCTATTAAAAACATCTCAGAAAGTGTAACTTTATTTTTTTTTTCCACAGATCATCTTCTATGAGGACAGGAACTTTCAGGGTCGCTCCTATGAGTGTAACTCTGAATGCCCAGACCTGTCTTCTTACTTCAGACGCTGCAACTCCATCCGAGTGGAAAGCGGAAACTGGATTCTGTATGAACATACCAATTACAGAGGACACCAGTACTTCCTGCACAGGGGAGAATATCCTGACTTCCAACAATGGATGGGATATAATGACTCTCAATTAGATCTTGTCGTCTGAGCCCCCAGGTAACTATGTGCATGTCAGTTTAAGAACAAAGCTCATATTAAAATGTTTGAACAACAGTATAAATATGCCACAAATACTATATTGTAAGAGGTGTATGTACGTATGTATGTATGTAGGCATGCATGCATGAATGCTAGCAACAAAATTAAACTTTATTAAAGTGATATAAAAATACATTTCACACAGGTAGCAAGTGCACAGGACATCTACATAACCCAACAGCATGGCACTAGCTAAAGCTATACAAATCACTTTGAGACTTCATTGAACAACAATTGGTAGAAAGAATAGCATTTATGTCAAAGGCATTTATTAAAACAGAATGTAGGTTTATAAATCTGAATAATCTAGTAAATGACATGTTAGGTTACGGTTGTGCAAGAATAAGCTCCTTTATTTTTTCCTTTCAAGAACGTCAAGAGTGGATAGACATAAATATATGTAAAGTGAACAATTTTTGATAACTTTGCCCAATCTTCATTCTGAATCCTATTTTTTAACAGCATGAAGGTTCATTCAGAATCAGGATCTATGAGAGAGAAGACTTCAGGGGTCAGATGATGGAATTCACTGAGGATTGTCCTAATGTCTTTGAGAGATTCCGCTACCATGACATCCATTCTGCCCATGTGCAAGATGGATACTGGATGTTCTATGAGGAGCCCAACTACAGAGGACGTCAGTTTTACCTGAGACCTGGAGAGTATAGAAGATTTTCAGAATGGGGTGCTACTCTTCCCAGAATTGGCTCTTTCAGACGTGTTCATTATTTCCATTAAAATTAAATTGTTTCTAGTCTTTTAATGAACCAATACATTGTATCCATTAAAATAATTTAAATTCTAACTTGTTTTTTTTTCATTTATTAAACAAGAATAATTGTCATAGATTTTAATGTAAGATGTATAAAAACATATAATTCAAAAAGTTCATATGATGAGCACTCTACTCATTCTAAAGTTTATTTCTTATCATAATATATAAAAATATCCAACCCTTTTTTGAAAATGTCTACTGAGTCTAATAAAGTCTGCAAATTCTCTGGAAGATGATTCACTTTTTATAACTTAAAGAACCCTTTCCCCTTATAAAGGAAAAATGTGTTTTTTTTCCAGTCACAAGGAGTAAATTTATGTGTTTCATGGTAGCTTCAAAGTGAACAGTTTTTCACTATATTTTCTTTTTAGATTATTTTTATATTAATATAAAGTATATCCCCTTAGCCACCTCTTCTCAAGTGTATTCAGATGCACTAATCTTTCACCATAACTGAGGTAATCTGTGTCCCTAATAATTTAGCTGCCTTGATCTGCACATCTTGCAGTTCCAGACCTTTCAGTGATCTGGTTCTAAAAACTAAACTGCATATTCTAAATAAGTTATAATTAAAGATACCCATGCTTCTTGGAAGAGTATCACTGGATAAAATGGCAACAGAATTACCAAATCCAAAGAATCTAAATATGATCCTCTTATTCAAGCCAGCAGCTGTACAACAAAATGTGATTAAGAAATATCCAATTGTAAAAAAAAACCTCAGGCCTGCTCATCTTCTAGCTGCAAAGTGAGGAAAATGTTATACTATAAGTGCACATCTAAACAGACCACAACAAGGAAGATATTATTGTGGACACTAATAAATAAATTCAAATAAATAAATATTCTTCAAAATTCACTTAAACTATTATTTTCTTGTGGATTAACAATAATTTATAATTCTGCCATCAACACCACATGAGTGACTTATTATTGCTCTGTTCATGGTGGAGTAAAGGAAGAGAACATATTTGTTCTTTGAATTTTATGAGTATAGTAAATAATGTCTTCCTGTCTGTGCAATGTGTAAATATAATCTGAACCCTGTAGTTTATGCTTTAGGTAAAGTCTTTCCAATACTTTATGGAAGGGTAACATATTTCTGTTTCACTGCTTGACTTAGAACTGGCATTGCATGCTGTTACTAAGTATATGATCAATGAAACAAAGTCTTTTATTTATATATATGTAGGGAACTGTTATTTTATACACTAGTTGTGGTTTGTTTACGTTCATATACAGCCACTACCATAGAGGTCCCATTACAGACAAGTCCCTAGGTGTGCTTCCTGCCCCTACAAGGTCAAGAAACCCCAGGATGTTATATAGTTGTTTTCCAGGAAGTATCAGGCAGAGGGTACCAGCCTGCCATGTGCTATGTATCTGGGGAGAACTGTATGGGGATTCTGTGAGTAATGATCCAGATTAACAAGGCTGTTATCTATCTAGTTGTTACTGAAGCAGATTAGGTCTGCCTCTGTTATATTTCAACTTCTGTATAGGAACCCTAATATCTCTGTAGGAGAGAGAGTTGTGGTTCATTATCATTATTCTATTTACACACGGCAGAATCCTTATAGTTGTCTATATAGATAGATAGATAGATCCGTGTTTTCACCTGCATAAGACTGTCAGGTGAACTTTCTGTTAATTGCAGTGTATCTTTGCAGCCTTTTGCTTAAAGCTATAGCATCCTTATTGGTCTGGATCTCCTTTTAGATAGAATTAGCATAGGGAGCGTTGGATAGATTAGGCTAGAGGTAGGTTAGGCATCCGATGGCCACTTAGACAGATAGAGGCCTGGTTGCAGTGATAGCCCAGTTTAGGGATAGGGACTAAGAGTAAGGATAGATAGGGCATTTTATCCTTTTAGGTGATGCATCGCTGATCTTCAGACAAGCCGTGCAATCATCCGCATGTTACTTGGACGCCATCACAGCATCTAAAGTGGAAGCGTGCATCTTATTGACTCTCACCTCTCCAGGGGCCCCTGCAACCGGACTGCGCTATAACCCATGGTTGGAGGTATTCTGTATACTACATGCACATATACCCGGGTATAATTGCAACCTCCCAATTTATGCTAAATTGTAATTCCTAAATGTTATTCTTATGCATCCTGTTTTATATGGCTGCTTTATATAAACTTTGCATTAATCTCATACAGGTGTGGTGACATGTCTTCATGTTAGAAATATAAGCTGGGTGCATTAATACTGCTATGTATAGTTACTTTAAGTTGTCTACATGTTACATTCCTAGAAAGGGGTGAGTCTCCTCAATTGCAGGATCCCTATTCTAGGTGGAGGCACTGCCATTTGTATTATCACAACCCCCTCTTCCATATAGCGAAGGCTCAGGATTGCCTACTTATATACAGGTTAGCGCCATAGCTTGTTTGGTGTGGGCCATTTCACATAACCCCCCTCCAAAACAGGGCTACAAATATATATATATATATATATATATTTATCCAATTTAGCTCCATCCACCATATTGTATGTTTCATGAATGTTTTTATTAGGGAAGAGGTTTGAGTTTCAATCCAAACTTTGACTGTTCAGTGTTGAACTGGAGAACAATGTTGTACTCACACACCAAGCCAAACCTCTATCTGTAGCTGAAAGTCATATATTTAGTAGTTGCTACTTCTGCTAAATGTGACAGCTTCCTGCTCAGGATTGCTGGTTCTAGAAAGCCCGGGGCTGCTGGCATCTTACCAACCATTTTACATCCCCAGCTCCATTCACCTGCTGGCCATGAAATTCCTCACCAGCAGCTAGATGAAAACAGCAGGGTGGAGATTAGAGATGAGCGAAGTATTCAAAAATTCGATTCGACTGATTCGGCGAATTCGTGGAAAAATTTTGATTCGAGTCGAATATATTCGCTGCGAATTTAACTTATAAAAGGGTGTTTCTAGGCTTCAGAGAGCCTTTATATTAGTGCAGAACACTGTACCTTTAATTTAAATGCCCTTGGAGTCTGCTGGGGAAGAGAAATAATACTGACAGTCAGTATGACATGCAGATGAGTGCCGTCGAATCACCGCACACTTCACTCATTTGGGCAGTCACGGGGCCAAAACCAGAGTGTGGAGCCACAGTGTGGCGGTGGAGGCAGCAGCAATGGGAGGCCATACAGCACCCTATGACAAAAATGGAAACCACCAGCAGTGTGAGGAGACCTGAAAGTGGCACATGGCAGAGTGTGGCGATGGAGACAGCAGCAATGGGAGGCCGTAAAGGGACCCAGGACACACTCTGGACCTGGCAGCAGCATGAGGAGGCGGTACAGGGGCCCATGACAGATTACGGGCCTGGCAGCAGCATGAGGAGTCGGTACGGGGGCCCATGGCAGATTAGGGGCCTGGCAGCAGCTATGGGAGGCCCGTAATCTGCCAGCACCCTATGACAAAAAATGGAACACACCAGCAGTGTGAGGAGACCTGAAAGTGGCACATGGCAGAGTGTGGCGATGGAGACAGCAGCAATGGGAGGCCGTACAGGGACCCATGAGAGACTCTGGACCTGGCAGCAGCATGAGGAGGCGGTATAGGGGCCCATGGCAGATTATGGGCCTGGCAGCAGCTATGGGAGGCCCGTAATCTGCCAGCACCCTATGACAAAAAATGGAACACACCAGCAGTGTGAGGAGACCTGAAAGTGGCACATGGCAGAGTGTGGCGATGGAGACAGCAGCAATGGGAGGCCGTACAGGGACCCATGAGAGACTCTGGACTTGGCAGCAGCATGAGGAGGCGGTATAGGGGCCCATGGCAGATTAGGGGCCTGGCAGCAGCTATGGGAGGCCCGTAATCTGCCAGCACCCTATGACAAAAAATGGAACACACCAGCAGTGTGAGGAGACCTGAAAGTGGCACATGTTTGGGGCATGATTCATGGCGGATTTAGTCAGTTGTGTCAGGAACTGGTGGTTTGAAATCCAGACTAATCCACGCCTGATTCATTTTCACAAACGTGAGTCTCTCCACACTTTGGGTGGACAGTCGTGTCCTCCGCGGAGTTACAATACCTCCTGCCGCACTAAACACGCGCTCCGATGCCACGCTACTGGCCGGGCATGACAGCCTTTCAAGGGCAAATTCAGCTAGTTGGGGCCAAAGGTCAAGTTTTGTTGCCCAGTAGTCAAGGGGATTGTCTACCTCGGTTGGCAGGGTGCTGTCCAAGTAGGCCTAAGCCTGTTGTTTGAGGTCCTGCTCCAGGTCCACCTGATGCTGCTGCTGCTGCTGCTGCTGCTGCTGCTGCTGCTGCGGCTGGTTAGTAGTTTCCTCACTGCGCTGGTGAAGAAAGCTACTCATCATCGACTGCAGACTGAGGCAGCTGCTGCTGGTGGAGCTGCCACTGCTCCTACCACCCCACCCCTCCCCTGCTGCCATGGCAGCGGAACGCGAGCGCACAGGGCCCACAGTGTCTGAGGATGGACGTTGGCGCAGAAAGGCAGAGACCAGCTGACTACATAGGTGGTTTTTATAGTACGTTATTTTGGCCTCCCTCTCAGCAGGTGTGAAAAAGGCCACCATTTTTGAACGGTAGCGAGGGTCCAACAAGGTGGACAGCCAAAAGTCATCCCTCTGTCTGATGGTTATTATTCGGCTGTCGCTACGCAAGCAAGCGAGCATGCTATGGGCCATTTGTGCCAAGGAATGCGAGGGACTCCCTGCCTCCATCTCCACGCATACTGCCACGGTGCGTCTGGGTCCTCTGTCTCCTCTTCCTCCTCCTCTACCAGATGCTCCTGCTCCTCCACTCCTGTCCGCTGAGTGGAAAAACCACCCATTTCACTCAATAATTCCTGAGCACCAATGTCCTCCTCTACCTCCTCCTCTTCTTCCTGTCCTGCCCCCACAGGGGTCATGTGGCGTTGAGATCTGTGCGCCACGTCTACCGCACCCTGACCAGCCATTGTTAACAGCATTTGTTCCAGGACGTGCAACAGAGGAATGACGTCGTTCATCCCATAGTCCTGCCGACTCACGAATAGCGTGGCCTCCTCAAAGGGCCTGAGCAAGCGCAGGTGTCACGCATGAGCTGCCAATGGCTGACATCTAAGTTACACAGGGAGTACCTTTATCCGCTTTTAACATCAGGAAATCTGTGATGGCCTTTTGCTGTTCGTAAAGGCGGTCTAACATATGTAGGGTTGAATTCCACCTTGTTGCAACGTCACAGCATGAGGAGTCGGTACGGGGGCCCATGGCAGATTACGGGCCTGGGCAGCAGCAATGGGAGGCCCGTAATCTGCCAGCACCCTATGACAAAAAATGTAACACACCAGCAGTGTGAGGAGATCTGAAAGTGGCACATGGCAGAGTGTGGCGATGGAGACAGCAGCAATGGGAGGCCGTACAGGGACCCATGAGAGACACACTCTGGACCTGGCAGCAGCATGAGGAGGCGGTACAGGGGCCCATGGCAGATTAGGGGCCTGGCAGCAGCTATGGGAGGCCCGTAATCTGCCAGCACCCTATGACAAAAAATGGAACACACCAGCAGTGTGTGAGGAGACCTGAAAGTGGCACATGGCAGAGTGTGGCGATGGAGACAGCAGCAATGGGAGGCCGTACAGGGACCCATGACAGACTCTGGACTTGGCAGCAGCATGAGGAGGCGGTATAGGGGCCCATGGCAGATTAGGGGCCTGGCAGCAGCTATGGGAGGCCCGTAATCTGCCAGCACCCTATGTCAAAAAATTGAACACACCAGCAGTGTGAGGAGACCTGAAAGTGGCACATGGCAGAGTGTGGCGATGGAGACAGCAGCAATGGGAGGCCGTACAGGGACCCATGAGAGACTCTGGACTTGGCAGCAGCATGAGGAGGCGGTATAGGGGCCCATGGCAGATTAGGGGCCTGGCAGCAGCTATGGGAGGCCCGTAATCTGCCAGCACCCTATGTCAAAAAATTGAACACACCAGCAGTGTGAGGAGGAGACCTGAAAGTGGCACATGGCAGAGTGTGGCGATGGAGACACAGCAGCAATGGGAGAGGCCGTACAGGGACCCATGAGAGACTCTGGACCTGGCAGCAGCATGAGGAGGCGGTATAGGGGCCCATGGCAGATTAGGGGCCTGGCAGCAGCTATGGGAGGCCCGTAATCTGCCAGCACCCTATGTCAAAAAATTGAACACACCAGCAGTGTGAGGAGACCTGAAAGTGGCACATGGCAGAGTGTGGCGATGGAGACAGCAGCAATGGGAGGCCGTACAGGGACCCATGACAGACTCTGGACCTGGCAGCAGCATGAGGAGGCGGTATAGGGGCCCATGGCAGATTAGGGGCCTGGCAGCAGCTATGGGAGGCCCGTAATCTGCCAGCACCCTATGTCAAAAAATTGAACACACCAGCAGTGTGTGAGGAGACCTGAAAGTGGCACATGGCAGAGTGTGGCGATGGAGACAGCAGCAATGGGAGGCCGTACAGGGACCCATGAGACAGACTCTGGACTTGGCAGCAGCATGAGGAGGCGGTATAGGGGGGGCCCATGGCAGATTAGGGGCCTGGCAGCAGCTATGGGAGGCCCGTAATCTGCCAGCACCCTATGTCAAAAAATGGAAACACACCAGCAGTGTGTGAGAGACCTGAAAGTGGCACATGGCAGAGTGTGGCGATGGAGACAGCAGCAATGGGAGGCCGTACAGGGACCCATGAGAGACTCTGGACTTGGCAGCAGCATGAGGAGGCGGTATAGGGGCCCATGGCAGATTAGGGGCCTGGCAGCAGCTATGGGAGGCCCGTAATCTGCCAGACACCCTATGTCAAAAAATTGAACACACCAGCAGTGTGTGAGGAGACCTGAAAGTGGCACATGGCAGAGTGTGGGCGATGGAGACAGCAGCAATGGGAGGCCGTACAGGGACCCATGAGAGACTCTGGACTTGGCAGCAGCATGAGGAGGCGGTATAGGGGCCCATGGCAGATTAGGGGCCTGGCAGCAGCTATGGGAGGCCCGTAATCTGCCAGCACCCTATGTCAAAAAATTGAACACACCAGCAGTGTGTGAGGAGACCTGAAAGTGGCACATGGCAGAGTGTGGCGATGGAGACAGCAGCAATGGGAGGCCGTACAGGGACCCATGACAGACTCTGGACTTGGCAGCAGCATGAGGAGGCGGTATAGGGGCCCATGGCAGATTAGGGGCCTGGCAGCAGCTATGGGAGGCCCGTAATCTGCCAGCACCCTATGTCAAAAAATTGAACACACCAGCAGTGTGTGAGGAGACCTGAAAGTGGCACATGGCAGAGTGTGGCGATGGAGACAGCAGCAATGGGAGGCCGTACAGGGACCCATGACAGACTCTGGACTTGGCAGCAGCATGAGGAGGCGGTATAGGGGCCCATGGCAGATTAGGGGCCTGGCAGCAGCTATGGGAGGCCCGTAATCTGCCAGCACCCTATGTCAAAAAATGAACACACCAGCAGTGTGAGGAGACCTGAAAGTGGCACATGGCAGAGTGTGGCGATGGAGACAGCAGCAATGGGAGGCCGTACAGGGACCCATGACAGACTCTGGACTTGGCAGCAGCATGAGGAGGCGGTATAGGGGCCCATGGCAGATTAGGGGCCTGGCAGCAGCTATGGGAGGCCCGTAATCTGCCAGCACCCTATGACAAAAAATGGAACACACCAGCAGTGTGAGGAGACCTGAAAGTGGCACATGGCATGAGACACTGTGGGACCTGGCAGCAGCATGAGGAGGCGGTACAGGGGCCCATGGCAGATTAGGGGCCTGGCAGCAGCTATGGGAGGCCCGTAATCTGCCAGCACCCTATGTCAAAAAAAAATGAACACACCAGCAGTGTGAGGAGACCTGAAAGTGGCACATGGAAGAGTGTGGCGATGGAGACAGCAGCAATGGGAGGCCGTACAGGGACCCATGACAGACTCTGGACTTGGCAGCAGCATGAGGAGGCGGTATAGGGGCCCATGGCAGATTATGGTCCTGGCAGCAGCTATGGGAGGCCCGTAATCTGCCAGCACCCTATGTCAAAAAAATGGAACACACCAGCAGTGTGTGAGGAGACCTGAAAGTGGCACATGGCAGAGTGTGGCGATGGAGACAGCAGCAATGGGAGGCCGTACAGGGACCCATGAGAGACTCTGGACTTGGCAGCAGGGCATGATTCATGGCGGATTTAGTCAGTTGTGTCAGGAACTGGTGGTTTGAAATCCAGACTAATCCACGCCTGATTCATTTCACAAACGTGAGTCTCTCCACACTTTGGGTGGACAGTCGTGTCCTCCGCGGAGTTACAATACCTCCTGCCGCACTAAACACGCGCTCCGATGCCACGCTACTGGCCGGGCATGACAGCCTTTCAAGGGCAAATTCAGCTAGTTGGGGCCAAAGGTCAAGTTTCGTTGCCCAGTAGTCAAGGGGATTGTCTACCTCGGTTGGCAGGGTGCTGTCCAAGTAGGCCCAAGCCTGTTGTTTGAGGTCCTGCTCCAGGTCCACCTGATGCTGCTGCTGCTGCGGCTGGTTAGTAGTTTCCTCACTGCGCTGGTGAAGAAAGCTACTCATCATCGACTGCAGACTGAGGCAGCCGCTGCTGGTGGAGCTGCCACTGCTCCTACCACCCCACCCCCTCCCCTGCTGCCATGGCAGCGGAACGCGAGCGCACAGGGCCCACAGTGTCTGAGGATGGACGTTGGCGCACAAAGACAGAGACCAACTGACTACATAGGTGGTTTTTATAGTACGTTATTTTGGCCTCCCTCTCAGCAGGTGTGAAAAAGGCCACCATTTTTGAACGGTAGCGAGGGTCCAACAAGGTGGACAGCCAAAAGTCATCCCTCTGTCGGATGGTTATTATTCGGCTGTCGCTACGCAAGCAACCGAGCATGCTATGGGCCATTTGTGCCAAGGAATGCGAGGGACTCCCTGCCTCCATCTCCACAGCATACTGCCACGGTGCGTCTGGGTCCTCTGTCTCCTCCTCCTCCTCCTCTACCAGATGCTCCTGCTCCTCCACTCCTGTCCGCTGAGTGGAAAAACCACCCATTTCACTCAATAATTCCTGAGCACAAATGTCCTCCTCTACCTCCTCCTCAACAAAGGAATGACGTCGTTCATCCCATAGTCCTGCCGACTCACGAATAGCGTGGCCTCCTCAAAGGGCCTGAGCAAGCGGCCCGGTGTCACGCATGAGCTGCCAATGGCTGACATCGAAGTTACACAGAGGTAGTACCTTTATATTCCGCTTGTAACATCAGGAAATCGGTGATGGCCTTAATCGCTGTTCCGTAAAGGTGGTCCTAACATGTGTAGGTTGAATTCCACCTTTGTTGCAACGGTCGCAGATCAGGCGATGCTGTGAATTCCGTTCTGCAGCTTCAAGGAGGGTGTGCTTTGCGGTGTAGGAATGGCTGAAATGCATGATGCAAAGTTGTACGTCTGACATTTTAAGGATGTCTTGCAGTGGGATGGTGGATTTTAGAACCTGCTTGACAACCAGATTGAACACGTGAGCCATGCATGGCGCATGGCACAACCTTCCTTGACGCAGAGCAGACACCATGGTTTCTTTCCGTTGTCGGTCAAATCATGGTTCCGATTTTTCAGTTTGCGCGGAGACAGCCATCTGTCGATTTCTCTGTTCATTACACTGAGAAGTTCCTCCCCCTGGTGTGACTACGTTCACCAAGGCATACCAGGTGCAGCACAGCGTGACTCCGTTGCGCCCTGACACATGTGATATGCCGGGTCGGGTAATGGGACTTGGCACGGGGGTGGCGGCTCTGAGGACACGGTAAGGAAGAAGAGGTGTAGAGGCGGACATCTTTTGTGGACCAAGGATGTGCAAACGGTGAGGCAAAGCGGCGTGACCTGTCCAAGTTGCTGGTGCGGCTGTGACGGCACCACCTTCACCCAGTGGGCCGTAAATGAACATGTACTGTCCCCTGGACCGTAGTTACAGCTCCATCACGTCGGCGCAGTCCGTGCACCTGTGGCAGAGACCGACATGCCTCAAAAGCCCTGGCCCACATCTCTTCTACATGTGAATGCAAAAGGGGCACTGCCTTTTTGGGGAAGAAATGAGGCTTTGGGACTCTCCACCTTTTGGGGGCCCGGCACAATCCTCATTTCCGGGAAAAGGGGCTGAGTCCACCACTTGGAAAGGGAGGGGCTGCAC